CTCTGCGCCGCGATGAGGCCCCCGTCCATCCCCCCCCCGCCGAGCCTGCAGGGACCACATCTGCGCCGCGGTGCCGGCTCATCCCTCCTCCACCTGTGCAGCCGAGCGGGGAAGGTGCCGCATGAATCCGGCTCCGATGGGAAAGGCAGTCGCTTCCGCAATCCCTCCCTAAGGACGGGCAGTGAGTCAGCTACCTGCCACGGCCACAGCCACATGCAGGTCCCCGAGGGCAGAATTAGACCTTGAATTGCTACCTGAGCTGTGGGCACTGCCGACGGCGTGGGCGAGCCGGGCACCACAGAGGCCGGAGGATTCATCACATCCAAGGCTCCGTGCGAGTCTGGCTGCACTGTTTCGGCAGCGCCTGGGTGGCTCCGGTGGGTCTCGGGTGCCGGAGCGATGGGGGAAGGAGTCTGGTTTCTACCTTGGCTTTGCCGCAGCAGCACCGATCTCTGAGCAAACCGCCCCGTGGCCCTCGGGTTCGGGCACGAGGGGAAGGCAGGAGGAGACGGGAAGCATCCTAGCTTTCTCCCGGTGCTCTCCCAGTGTCCGGCCACCCGCACTCAGGGACCTCCTGGGCTGGGTGCGGTTCCTGATTTACCCCCAGGGGATTTTTCTTCTGTCTCCGATCCCCCCCCCCCAGAGCCCACGCAAGCGCTGAGCACCCCAAGGCAGCCCTGGCAGGGAACTCCCCATGGGAGGAGAGGCGATAATCCCTTTTCCAGGCACAGCTCATGCAAACACCGGGAACAACTGGCCCTTCCAGCACACCGGGCAACTGCCCGTCTCAGCATACGCCAGCCCTGGCCAGAATAAGGTTTAAAGCCACACAAGCAGCGAGAAGCCTGCAGCAAATCAGTTTTCGCTTGCTAAGTACGTTCAATCATGAATAAAACACAAACACTGACAATTAAGCATCTCTCGCTTCTTCCCCACAGGCCCCAGGATCCCATTAAACTGGAACATTCGCATGCTGATGTGAATTCAATGTTTTAGAGCCTTTTTGTAGGGCCCTAAAAATACACTCACATGGGCTGCATGTTAATTATGCCTTTGATTTCACTGAATCTCAGCCATTTTTCGCTCCCCGCTTTCTCCGCTCAGTATTTTTAGAGCACTCGAAAGCTCATCGGTACCAATCTGTTGCTGGGATCCCGCTGGGATCCTGCTCCGAGTGCCGGGCCGGCATCCCGCTTCGGGGTGGGAGTGATGAACGGGAAGAAATGCTCGTGCCGCGGGGGCGATGCCAGGCAGGGGCGAACCGGCCCGATCCCAGCTCTGCGCCTGAATTTCTCTCCTGGAGGAAGAGGGAGGCTGCGGCAAGATGCTGGGCGATGAGGGGAATAAGTCTTGATAATAGCCTTATTATTAATAATAACAACAATAAGCCTTAATAACCCTCAGGCTCCTGTTCCCGGTTGCTTTGGTAAAAGGTTATTTGCAGAGCAGTTGCCTGTGCTCCTCACCTGCCCGGGTACCTACTGCTGCCACCCCCCTGTCCCCAGATGCGGTGGCCTTGCTGCAAACTGGGACTCATCTACCGCAGCGGGTGCTGCAAATCCTCTGCCGCCAGCGCAAACCCGGGACGAGCCGGGAGGCAGCAGGGGGGGGAGGGGGGCACACCAAGACCCCCCCAGTCCTCCTTCATTTTCCTCTGATAAGCAGCAAGCGCTTTTTGCCGCGGCAGAAGGGCAGGAGCCAGCATCCATGAGGTCTCCCTGGCTGGGAGGGCTCCGCATGACTCGCGCCCGCTGCACGGGACGCGCTTCCCTAAGGAAGGAGGAGCAGTAACGGAGAGGCAGCGCCCGCACCTCCCGGCACGCCGCTGCCAGCAGACCCTGAATAAACAAGTGATGCGGGAGCGGAGGGGATGAGGCAGCCGGTCTCCGGCACATCCGCATCCGGAGGACGAGCAGGGAATGCGCAGGAGCGGGCAGGTGAGCACATGGAGCAGCTTTTCCCATGGAGGAGCACCCGCTGGGTTTCGGCTGGTTTGCCTGAACCCCACCAGGAGGGAAGTCCCCTGAGGCCCCTTTTCCCTGAGAGCGACCCACGATCCCCAAATCACCAGCTCGGGGCACGCACAGTCACCCAAGTTTCTTCCTTTAGAAAACAAACTCCATGGCAGCAGTTCCCCTATCAACAGCATCAAACACCACCGAAACTATTAAAAGCAAGAACAGTTGAGTAAACATCAACCCGAGAGCTTGAGCAAACAAGGAAAAGGAAATCCAGAAGTTAATAGCTCTTATTAAAACAGTTCCTTGCTCACATCACGCACCCCGGCTTGCATGTGCCCAGCGAGGCGAACACGGGGATCGATCTCCGCTGGTGGTCAGCTCTTCCTCCGGTTAGGGCAGAAAGGAGCTGGGGACTGGCTTTCCAGTTTTAACCGCAGTCTAAGCACTTGAAGGACAAGGGGAATTCACCATTCTTCGAATTAAAGAGATTTTGGGCAAGGAAAGCTGCTGCAAGGCGATGCTCATGCTGCAAAAGTTTGCTCTGCAGTTGTTTTCACTTTGGTGTCAGCAGATTTGCACGGGGACATTTCATAGAATCCTAGAATCATTAAGGTTGGAAAAGACCTTTAAGATCATCGAGTCCAACCGTCAACCCAACACCCCCAGGCCCACTAAACCATGTCCCTAAGCGCCTCATCTACCCGTCTTTTAAATACCTCCAGGGATGGTGACTCAACCACTTCCCTGGGCAGCCTGGTCCAATGTTTAACCACTCTTTCAGTAAAGACATTTTTCCTCACGTCCAATCTAAACCTCCCCTGGCGCAACTTGAGGCCATTTCCTCTCGTCCTATCGCTTGTTACTTGGGAGAAGAGGCCGACCCCCACCTCGCTACAGCCTCCTTTCAGGTAGTTGTAGAGAGCGATGAGGTCTCCCCTCAGCCTCCTTTTCTCCAGGCTAAACAACCCCAGCTCCCTCAGCCGCTCCTCATAAGGCTTGTTCTCCAGACCCCTCACCAGCCTCGTTGCCCTTCTCTGGACACGTTCCAACATCTCAACATCCTTCTTGTAGTGAGGGGCCCAAAACTGAACACAGTATTCGAGGTGCGGCCTCACCAGTGCCAAGTGCAGGGGCACACATACATTTCTACCAAAGTGCAGACAATCGAGGGCAACATCAGGAATTTTCCTCCACTAACTTCAGCGGTGGCAAGAACCACCGGTGTCTGTTGGGTTGTGCAGCAAGGCAGATTATTTTTCCCCTAGGTGCACAAAGCAGGCTTGTATTTTGGAGGCTGTGGAAGCTGAACGAAGACACCTGAGCGCGGCCCCAGCACGGTGAGCCGCCTTCGGTCTCCAGACTTTGCAAGGGCCGGTCCTCACCCCAGCAAATGCTCCCATTTCAGCTGCTAAAGGTTCATCCCCATCCTACCAAGGGGGAGCCGGGCTGCTTTTCCCAAGGCCCTGGCTGCTGGCGGATGCAGTGCCATGTAAATATTTACTCCCGACCAAACAGTTTGGGAGGGACTCTGACCTACGTGTGGTTTTTTTCCTTCCTCGGCTGTATCTAGGTTATCGCAGCCCCGGTGCACGGGACGGATGCTGTGCCTGGCATTATACAAGCTCCATCCAGCAGCGTCTGCTCTTTCGCTGCCTAATGACTCAAAAACCACCATATCTGATCTGCTTCCATCCTCAGCCTGGGCAGGAAGAGCCTGAAGGGATACGGAGGGAAGGGAGACAGAGGGAAGGGTGCTGGGCACCCAACCCAAACCCAGCATCCCCACCCCGGGGGAGCGCTGCTCTCAAAATGAGCCGGGTCCCACAAGAACATTTGCCTGAGGCGATGCTTCTTCAACTGCGGCTCAAGTGGAGGCGATCTCCAC